ATGCCGGTTCATTTGGTTTGGTTAGATTCCCTTCGGGTTGAGTCGACTTGATATGGTGTTATATATCACTATCAAACTCTGCCCTGGTGTGCTAAATCACCTAATTTCCCCTTTGGTCCTCCTATCCTTCGAGGTTTTTCTGTTGTCCACCCTGTTCTTGGAGTTGGGTATCCCTCGAGACCTCAAGCTACTAGTTGACCCTATCACTATGCCCCGTGGCCTGAGCTACTATGCGTTGTTCCTAGTTTCCCCTTGCTGACATCTCCAGAGGGGAGATTAAGGAATCATGCCTCGTGATAGGTCGCACCACTAGGTCCATTACCAGTGTTAAGTTCGTGCGCGACCCTAGAAGGCTTGCTCTCGATGTGTCCTGGACAGTCGTATCCTTTGATCATCCGGTGGGTGGCCCCCTTCCCATGGGGATCTGTGATGTCTAGGCATGTTCCATTTTCTTACCCAAATTCTTCCTCGATTTCTCTTCAACCAAATTCTCGAAGTTTGTAACAATTTATGAGAAAAATAAAGTCCTCGCTAACCAATAAAGACTAGATTTTTTTCTACAGACGATGGTAATTTGATCCACAAATTACCTTCAGACCGAGTTTAGACCGACACTACCACGAACCACCTTTCGCCCCGAGCTCCGATGACCTGCAAAACACGCTGGGAAGGGGTTCCGACGATAAACCTCCGATGTTCAAGTTATATCTCACTTGTGGGTTTATCAAAGTTGTATGTTAAAACGTAATATGCATTAGATTGAAATGGAACTTGGTAATTTCCTTTTATATGAAGATTATCTTCTTGCCCAAATAGTCTCATTACTACAAAAGTGATCCAACCTTATCTTATTTCTAGCATGACACTTCCGTGAGATCTTCAACTCCATTGCAAGATACACATACCATCTTTACTAGTATTCTACTTCTATTCTTACCAAGACACTTATTGTAACGCCCCGTTTGATTATGGTTATTTTGAGATTATTTATTATTATTATATTATTATTATTATTATTATTATTATAGTAAACTAATTGTCTAAATTGATTATTATTATTAGTATTAATATTTATATTAATTGTCTAAATGCCTAAATGTGTCTAAATGTTATTTATAATAAATATTTATATCTATATATTAATTAAATATTACCCGGTTGTTATTTTATTTTATCGCGCGATTAATCGAGCCCGAGAGCCAAATCATTATCTCGAACACGCGTGAACCGAACCAGTGTCTCTCTCTCCCTCTCTTGTGTGTGTGTGTTAGTGGCTTGGAGAGAGGAAAACCCTACCCTAATGTGTTAAAGATTGGGATTAAACTAATAGCAGATAAATTGCATCGCGCAGTCTTTCTTATTCTTTCTCTCTGCTCGACATCAACAGAGAACTCCTAAATCTTGCAGCTTTATTTTATCTCTTCCCAATCATTCACTAGCAGAAGAAGATATCATCGTTCCCTTCTCCCTATCCATCATCATCGCTAGCCATCGCAGCACCTCCATCAACGTGCCACCACCATCATCCTATCGTCATCCCAGGCCTGTTCAAACGGCCGCTGTGCACCCCGCCACTGTCACCATCATCGGATCGCGCCATCATCCCGTTCGAACCAGTAGCAGCAACTCCTCCTCACCGTGAGAAGCTTTTCAGTCGCGACTTGCCGTGAGCCAACGGCAGCGCCGCCGCGAACCCAGTCACGCAGCAACACCGACACGCAAGGAGGAGACTTCCTGCAGGCCGCTGCCCGTCGCCGGACTACCGTTCTTAGCCAACGGGTCCCGTCGAGTCCCGTCGGAGTATCGAGCATAGCCGTTGAGTCCCGTCGCGTTCCGTCGGAGTGCCGATCAAAGCCGGCGAGTTCCGGCGTATATTTTCTTTTAGCCACGATCAGTTGAAGAGGATCACCATCAACCACCATCGCCATCACAATTTGCTGAAACCCTGCAACTCCGAGTACCCGTTGTCCGCTCGCGTTGCTGTCCTCAGGCCACCGTAAGAAGCTCTCGCAAGCCTTCGCTGTCCCGCGTGCAAACTGATCGTGCGAGGCCCCGTCGACCGAAGCAACGAGCCATCAGCAACCCTCCGGTGAGTCCATCCTCTGCCGGGACCCTCGCCGTGAACCAGCAGCCTCCCGACGGGCCCCGTCAGCCGCTCCTCCTCCTCCGCGAGATGAAACGAAGTCGTCGAGCCAATTGTCCCCTCGCGCCGTTCGTTTCGTTGTTCGTTATTCGTAGCCCGTCCCGAGAACGGTACCCGGGCTATCCCTCGAATTAATTATTTCATTCGTATATGTGTTTAAGTGCTCTTATATGTGTTATTGTTGCTGAACGTTTGAGTTTCGAATTAATTTCGTGCCCTAGATAGTAATTGTGAATTATTGATGTATTTAATTGCCATTTGAATATCAAAGTGATTGCCGTCACTTTAAAAAATTGTCAAACTGAGGTTAATATGTTACTTCCCGTGGAAATGTTGTGGAAGTTTGGACTTAGGAATGTCCTTGACGCAACGGCTTTGGCCTTGTGTCGTTTCGATGTGTATTACATGAGTTATGAGTTTTTGAAAATCGTGATGCAGCCCGTTTTTGCTAAAATCACTATAATTCGTGTATTGCTCCAAAAATTCTGATTTTTGGGTATGTTGTAATGTTGCTGTTGTAGTACTTGTGGTTAAAATATGAGATTTTTATATGGCCTGTAGCCTTGTCAAAACTCGAAAACTATTTCTGGGTTGTTTCTTAATAAATTTATAAAAAAATAGAGTTCCTGTCTAAAATGGCTAATTTTTGGATATGTTACTGTTCTTCATGCTATCTTGCTGCTGTAAAAATTTCAAAGTCAAATTCGAACTGTAGCTATTTTAATTAATTTAATTCGTTTTATGGTCAATTTTTGCTTGAATTATTCAAAACAGTTAGGAGCATGTTTAGGGGTTTTCCTTTGGTGAAAATGTGTGATTTTCAGCCATTTATATGCTGTAAAAATTTAAACTGTAAAGTCCAAGCCTAACCCCTTATGGTCTCATTCAATTTATTTTGAACTAGTCCTTTTTAATCGTTTTTGGCTTGTTGACAATTGTTTGACCCGTTGACCCCGTTTTTATGTCAAAATTTCATTTCTTGCTTTTATAAGATTATTTAATTGGTTGGTCGAGTCTAGGAGTCGTCCTAATGTTCCAACTCCACAACTTCCATGAGTTTCTTAGTCGAGGTGATTCGACTAAGTATAATTCTCGTTATCTGTGCAAGAGTCGAGATAGTTGCTTATGGGACTGTCTTGACCTATGTAGGTGTCTGACGAGCAGTGTCTCAACCACCTACGACTTCTGGTTAATTTGCTTTATCAACCGATTCCAGGTGGGTTTTACTTATAAAATTATCTATGCCATACGTGTGTTTAAGTGTTTGGTTGGTATGATCAATGTATGCATGTGAACCATGTAGCCTACTGATGTGAGCTGTTACGGCTGTCGGTACGGTTGTCCCCGTCGAGTTACGGTACGGTTGCCCTTGCGAGGCAAGTCTCCTTAAGACCTAATGAAAGGCCGTGTCCGTTACAGTGGCACGCACTCCCGTCGTTAGGGTTTATGCATCCCCTTTCCGCGGCTAATGATAGATGTGCACATGAGTGAGTTATTGTTGTGATTATTAGGAGACGAGACATGATGATGATTGATTTATATTCATACTGCGACCATACCATCTTTACATGTATTATTTATGTGCATAGTGGTGGGCACGCTTTTCATCTAGTGCTCATCCCCACCTGCTCTTCACCGATGCAGGTTAAGCAGGAGTTGGGTGACGAGAAGAGGCGAGTGGGTCGGTCATTTTATTTACTGCTTTCGTATGAATAAATAAGGCTTTATGAACCTCTATGTTGAGACTTGATTAAACCATTTTCCAGAATTTATGACTTCATTGTTTTTGGAAACTTGTGAAACCCGGATGTTGGGTATTATGGTTTGGTTATATATTCATGTTGAGAATTATGTCTCGTGATGTGTGTTAATTAATGAAAACCATTTTGTGAAAACCGGGTAATGAATCCCCGTGAGCCCAGATAAGACTTGGGTTATGAAAAATGTTGTTTAACACCCATTGAATTTTCGAAAATGATTTTGAAAAATTTTATACTGATTTTTGGAAAGTGGGGTGTTACACTTATGACCTTAAGCGGCCACAACGACTTCGTGACCTAGCAGCCACATACTTTTACCAAGTCGATAACATGACCAACATTGTACGGCCTTCAGGTCGTATCGACCACCTCATCCATCCGAGCTCCCTCCAAACCTCGGCGGTCTATCTACTGTATCGAGCTGGCGCACTCCTCGAGTGGCTACGACGAACTTTTTAACAAAGTCA